CTTCTTGTCACTTGCTCGGTTCAACAGCTGGTGCAGAAGCTCCACGCCAAACTCATCCTGCCTCACCGTGTGCAGCGGACTGGACCATAAGCAATTTAGTTCCTCCGTATCGCCAAACCTGATTCTTCCGCTATCTTTTTGGATGTATGGTTGATGTCGTGGCAATCCGGCTGGGCGGTGTCAGCAAGCGTGAAGGGCACGCCCGCAGCATTTTCTACCAGTGAAGGACGATCACGGTAGAAAGCAACCGAAGGTAGAAAACGCCACAGGTTGGCCTATTGCACGCCTCTCAACACCGCCCCATGCTACGACATGAACTGTTGCTATGAATTGTGGTGAAAACAACCGTAGATGATATCATTTCAGTTCCCGTAGTGCTCTCAGCGACGGCGCTGAAAATAGTTGACAGCGCACTGAGTCGCAAACTCTAACCCAGGGCATATGTCCAGTAAGTAGTACTTGTAAATGACGAGATTGTGGTCTTGTGTAATCACGGCTAGTCGTTTTTCCCAATTTGATCTGGGTAAACTTTTCTCCACATAGCCGCACATGGCACCAGACTCACGACAGAGTTCCTCCTAAATGACAAGGGTCACATTTGGGTGCAGTTGGAGAGCGCTAAACTAAAAGGCTTACCTGTGTTGGTAGAGGTTCATTATGATACTGCTTAAAGCACGACATCAACCTTCCAGTTAGTAACAAAAACGTACACTGAATGATCTACGAACTTAGAGGATTATCACTGAGAATCTGTTTATGACTAGTGAAGACCTGATAGCAAACGGGAAAACACGCTAGGCCATATCACAATTTCAAAGTGCGATGCACAAATTTGAATGACCACTGAACCAGACTTAACTGGTGATTTTCATTTGGTGGAGGCACGTCATCTGAAGGTGGCACGAATTGCCTGGAAAAATAATCTTCTGGTAAGGAGCGCTGAAGCGGAAGAGAGAGAGAGAGAGAGGAGAGCTGAAGCCTGGAGAAGGGAGAAAGAGAGAGAAAGAGAGAGAAGAGAAGAGAGAGAGAGAGAGAAGAGATGAGACTCAAAAAGTTTTACCTAGTGGTTAGGCAACTAACTAAAAAAAAGAAAGGGGCACTGCCCAGATCAAGCTTACTGAAATGAGCGCCATGGCTGTCTGGGAACCTCCCGCCTGGCGACTCCTTTATCTCGTTCCAGTGTTTTGCACTATTCGCCCAAAGAACAGGGCGAGCGACCCCATGCCGCTTTTGTCTTATTTGCCCGTGGTACACGCTTAAAAGCGCATTTCACGATAAGGTTTGCGGAGCAGTCTTTCCGAATGTACAGCAGATATCGTCGCTATCAGTGGAGGTGGCGTCAGCAGGGATGTCAAGGGAGAGTTCCTCAGTAGCGCTTCCACTTCTGCTTGTATTCTTCCTCAGATGATCACAGAGGCAGGTTCGTTACCCTTCTGACACCCCCTGACTGACTGCGACGATATCAACCATAATAGTTGGTGTCTACCGTCTCTCTTCTATCTCGCCTTGTCCCAATGCCACTTTCTTGGTCATAAGGGTGTACACAGGGTGTCTTCGAGATTTCTTTCACTTATTCTTCAGCATCGCGATACAAGATCAGTTGCTTTCCAAAAGCCAGGTCAGGGAACGTTTTTCGAGTACAGGTCGATTACACTCTCATTTGGTGATAAGCTAAGAAAACAGGAGCGCGATAAACCCAGCTCATTGAGCTCCAACCGCTAAACGGCTCTATCTTACGCTCGGACAACCAATATGGAATGTATCTATGAGCACAGCCATTAGCTCTACTACAGTCAGAGCACTTCGACATACAGTCGTCATCCGGGGACTTGATTAGGGCGGCAAGGGTCGCGACGCGGCTGCGGCGCGTCACGAGCCTTGCCGGTCTCCCTATTCGATGGTGCTGCTCCATTTTTCAAGGTTAAGTATTTTATTATTCTTAACATGAGGGCGTGGAGTATTTTTTTTTGTTTCTGTAATAGAGTGTTTTTGCAGTTTTTTAGGGTGTTTGTTCAATTGTCTAACTGTTTAATTGTGCGCAAAAAACAGAGGAATCTCAATCATAATTTACCTTGTGAAGACAAGGAACAACTAATCTCGAGAAAAGCAGCCATAACAGTGTAAATTAGGGAGAAAATGGCTAAAATATGCTAAAATAATAAGCTAATAGGCTAAAATATACTGGAAACAGCTAAGCGCCGCGCTCGTGACACGCCGCAGCCGCGTCGCGACCCGTGCCGCCTGATCAAGTCCCGGGTGACGACTGTAGCAGGAAATATTTTGCTCAGAATTCAACCACTTTCCGAGTTCTCCCCTTCGCCTCCCCTTCTTTCGCGTGCTACTGACATTTTTCTAACATTGGATAGCATTCTATGGTTACTGTTACCTCACACATTTTAACGTTTCACATGATACGTGGCTCACCCACCTCGGAGTCATTTTCCCATGAAAAAGGCTGACCCTTTGCTCGCCAAGCTTTTTGTACACATCAGTGCTTTAGAAGTCACATTAGACAGCTCAAGTTCTCGCCTAGCTTGAATGGCTTGAAAACATGAGACTACCACACTCGAATGTCCTGACCACAATGTGCGTTGTCGCAAAATGTCTTCAACTATTTTTATTGGCTTGTCACTAAGAGCTCACAAGGTCATCAAACAGATTTACAAGTAATGCTAAAACTAGGCGTGTAAGCAGTCCCTCTCTTCTCCTTCGAATTTTCCAGCCAGCTGCAGAACTCCCAGGTTGAACGTCTTCGACGGTTGTTTGGCGCTCGTGATGTAATCCGATGGAATGAATATCGTTAGTTTCCGCTGACAGGGCTGTAAAGTTCATTATAAGAGTAAGCATGTGAAGAAAGAGAGCTTTCGAAGGCTCGCTCCACGTTCATTTAGTGTTCAGAAGCGTTCTTCGGGCAGGGTAGCCCTGTCACAGGCACATGGGATATACCACTTTATCAGCTTGAAAATGCGTGAGGAAAACGGAACCCGTTCAGGGGGGGGGTGACCTGACCCTCGCTGTCCTGCTCAACGTAACACACATCTTTCATACCTAACGCTTCCTGCTAGTGCGGTTTCTCCGCTCCTAGATCTCCATACTGTTGCTGAGAGTGAGGGGAAAGAGTTGATACCAGTGACTGAGAACTTGTCCAACCACGCCCTTTCTGTGCAGTATGCACGTTTGGATCAGTATGTGGCCGCTGTTTGGCGACGGGGGGGGCATTTTGTACTAACATTGCTGCCCTTGTTCCGGTTTACTAATCTCACTCTAGGTAAAACTTGTGAACTCTTGTGAAGCTGGAGCAAAATCGTCTAGCCACCAAAACGGTGTAACTCGAGAAAAGGCTACCTAGGTGGGTCGACACATCTACGGAAAGCAAAATGCCCCCTCGTCGACAAACTGTGCCAGTATGTGGTGCTACATAGGACATTTTCCAACGATTGTCTTCCGGAGTTTTTCCTTTTACTACAATCTACTGTTGTCACTGATATTCGAGCCGCAAACCTCATAATTGTCGAACGCAGGGAATGCCTTTGAATCATCTACCTATTCCCACGGCACATCATTGGTATTTTTAAGCTGCTTCGACGAAGATGGTACAATGGTCGAAGGTAGGTGACAAGTCTGCCATTGGGGGAGGGATTGTAATGACTGATCCCTATTGCTCCGAAAACTTAGGATTTTTCTTCGATACTCGAAAGTTTTTCTTCGTGGTGTTGTTACGTCCTCCCGGTGGACGGTTAGCTTTTGGATTTCCGAGGATCTTCAGGTAAGAATCGGATTGGGAGGCTAGGGTCGACTTAGGTTCAGGAAATGGAGTCATTTTGAATCGAGGTGAGAAGTCGTACTTTGCAAAAAAAAAACAAACATGATATTGATGTTTGATAGTTCGGGGTAGCAAGCGGCGGTGCTACAGAAAAGCTTATACGGGACAAAGTCATGGTTGCAAGTGTTCCCAAACTGCAATACCCTCCAAAGGCGCAGTGGAATATAGAATGGGTCACTTGTGAGGTACTAAAATTTGAGACATGTCATCCCGGCGTGATGGATAGAGACATGATTACAATTGTCCGAAAATGAGAAATATCTCACCAAAAGCGCAGCCATTGAAGCTTTTAAGTGGGCTTACGCAACCACGCCTCCGCGCTCTCAGGGATTTGGACCATACATAAACTTTGTAAGATGGAAAGCGACGAGGAGATGTCAGTAGACGTAATCAAACTTTGATAGGATTCAGTACCGACCTGAACCGTTTGTTGACCCGGACAAGTCTCTGGTGGCAAAAGACATTCCAGGCCTCTGACACCAGTCCACCACCGTTATGCGCTATATGTACACGCTCCTATGAGACGGCCAAAACATCCCCCTAGTCATTACTGGTGGATTTCCGAATGCTCTGAGTGCATAATGCTTGTCATCTACCCAACTTTTCCCAAAATTCTGGCGCAGAGGAAAGAGGAGGTGGAAAGACAGGGAGTATGTGGCAAGAGAATCATAATTCACCGCGCGAGTGGGCGACGTCGCGCCCGTCTATGACGACGATATTAGGTGGTACTAATCGGGACTAGGCAACGTAGGACTAAAAATAGGCATTAGTGTCTACGTTGTCTACACCGATGCGCCAGTCGAAAAGGGTGGAGCAAAATGAAAACCCTTTGCTGGAGCGACGAAGCCGCAATTTACCGCTCTCCTACACGTCTCCCGGGAGGTAGGCACCTTTGATCAGTTGTCAGAAATCCAAGTTCTGCGGCACTCTCACCCGCGTAGCGCTCCGTGAAATGGGAAAATTTTACTCTAGTCGAGTATGAGCATATCGCCGACAGCTACACTCCTTATCCCTGAGACGGAGTAGGCGTGGCTTCTGAGCATGGGTTTATCGTGGGATACTTCAATTTGAAACAACTGCTATCTTGTTCTGTGTCAGATGTAGACATGATTACGACTGCTCCAAAATGACAATATCTCACGAAAACCTGGGCCGCCGCCATTTCAAATCAAGTACGCAGCCACGCCTACCCGATCTCAGGGATTTCGAGTATAAAAGCGATGTCGAACGAATTGAAAGCAAGGAGAATAACGAGCGAATGATTGGAAGATCCAATAAAGAAATATGAAAATACACGGTTTGGATGGCGCGTTCAAAGCATGCGCATTCGATCGCGCCGAACGGGCGACCGAAGCGCTGCCGTCGCGAAGTCTGAACGCTGCCTAATCAGGCATCATAAGAATGGAGGTATGAAGCACCAGCTTACCTTAATGCCGTCGTCACAATCGTGGTAGATATTAATTTTCGGCTCGATTGTCGTTACCTGAAATACAAAAAGGTAAAAGTAGCCGCGGTATGAAACGTTTTCAAAATAGGAACCATCAGGCGTATTACAATGTATTCCTGCGAAAGAAACTCCTCTAAAAAACTTTTCATCTTTTGTTTGTGATTAATTGTCTCAATCTCCGACTTCAAAACTGTTTCTAGTGCATCATTACCTTGGTCAAGGACACTTTTTGATATTGCCTTGAAGCCAACGGTCGTTTGAAAATTGTTTTCTTCCACAGTTGCGCTGTAATATGAATGTACCCGTGATTTTCCCCCAGTAATGGTTGCCATGTTGCCGACGACAAGTTCGTTTCAGCGATCTGTTACGTACAGCCATTATCCCTTTAAAGAGGGGTCGTGAGAGAGGCGCAGATGAAAACGCAGCAAGGGAAGCCCTTTCACCCTCTGATGCCATCTTGGACTCGCAGCGATTGGTAGAAGCGTTCTGGATGAGCTGCAGTCAGTCTACTTCACCTCAGGCCTCCTCCTCTTTCCACGATCTATAACCCCATTCAGGTCCACTTTCTTATCGAGGCGAGAGTAATGGCCTTATACAGCTGTTTTTGGCCTGTTCCATCCCTTATTTGCTTCACAGTCGCGTTGCTCAGTAGCGTGGTAGTGGAATACGTGACGCGCCATGAATAGGGTTGATTTTCTCTTGCAATAATGCTTTGCTCATGTAGTAAATCAAATCTGGTAGAGCATCTGAGCAGGTGAGATCATATGTCAGGGCTTCTTGTCTTTGTGGACACTCCTTACTCGACCGCGCCCACTGCGCGGCAACTTCCAATTGTCTTGGCCGTGTCCCCACTTCCACTCCCACAATATCAATGTTCTCAGCGTTCTAGAAGGCAGTTGGCACGATAAATCCCCAAGACGAGTAGGATTAATGCGCCTGGCAGGACGGAATTCCGCGACCCTGAGCAGGCGCTGCGTAGCGCCTTTCCCAAGGAAGGTACCCTTATAAGGGCCCTATCAAGCTACAACATACCGACCCGAACGCCCACCACGCCCGCCCGCCCACAAATGGACGACCGTTCCTGACGCTCGTATCGATTCATTTGCTAACAAGGAAAGGATGGTTGGTCGAAGTGGCCATTCGAAATGAGATGTATACTGCCCGATGGGCCCTTGAACGCTGATTACAAATCTGCCCTCCATTTCTGCTGAACGATTCCCTGGACAAAGTTATGCAGGAATTTTGACCAGGTCACACCCATTTCCAGCATGTATGTGAGC